CCCTGCTCGCCCCCCTGGCGATCGCCGGCGGCCCCAGAGAGATGTCGCCCAGCACGATCTCCTCGGCCATCGCCCTCTCGATCGCAGTTTCGGCCCTCCCCTGCGGGGGCGGCCTGACGCCGCGAGTCTTCACCCAGCGAGCGAACCTTGCCAGGAGCTGACTGGTCCAGTTCATGCCGAGTTCGAAGACTGCCCACTGGCAGTAGACGATGCCGCTGCACAGCACCCAGCGGCAGTCGGCTGTCGGGCACTCACCGAAGCGCATCGCGTCGCCGCCCCGCATCTGCGGCGCAGGCTCCGCCACTGGACCCCGAGAGCCGATCGCGCCCTCGGCCCTCCAGCCCCTCAGGCGCCGCCTCAGCTCGGGAGCCTCTGTCTCCTGGTCGACCTGGATGCGCCTCTCCCTGCACAGCTGCCGCATCTCCAGCTCAAGCATCTCCCCCGGCCCAGGGGTCGGCCCCCGGGCCCGCCTCTCGGCGCCCTCCGCACGGAGCGCGCGCAGAATCGAGCGCGACAGGTCGAAGCTGGCGCCGCGCGCATCCCTGTCGCAGGGCGCCCCCCCGCCTCGAGCTCCAGCTCCCTCGCGCGAGATAACGCCGGGGCTCAGACAGCACTCAGCGTCGGCGCATTCGAGCGACTGCTCTCCGAAGTCGTCTCCTTGAGAGATGTCGAACACAGCTGGCTCGGTCGCATAGCCACGGGTCGAATCGCCGTAGACGGGCGCGGCGGCCGGCTCGGCCACTGCGCCCGGCGGGACTGCGGCGGCGGAAGCCACGGTAGCTCTCGTGCCAAGCGAATTCGGAGATGACCTCGTTTGATAACGGATTGCTGATGGATATCATCGCAGTTCGCTTCCATTTGTTGGCGCTTGAAATCGCACGCGCTGATGCTGGCTTCCGCCGCATGTTGGTGTTCTGGGCCGCTGCTTGCGTCTACCGTTTGTGCTGAACGTGCTGGTTCTGGCATGATAACCCGCGCTTCTTCCCATGACCCCGACGAGGACTGACGCGACGGAATGCTCGCGCCCATCGCCCGGCGCACCTGTTGCTCGAACAGTTCAACACTATCCGGCTCGCAACCGGATTCAGTCTCGGCCTAAGGCCCGTCGGCCACCGAGTCGTCGTCGAACCCTTGGTCGAGCTGCTCGGACCCCACCGCACTGGCGGTGGCCAACTGCATCTCCTCAGCCAAATACGTAACAAGGGCGCGCGGCCGGATCTCCTTCTCCGCATCTGAGACGCCCCGCACAGGCACGCAGCGAAGTGGGAAGCCCAGAATATCCAAGGTAGGATGGCCGGCGCGACTCAAACCTATCTGGATGCCTCCTTCCTTGATCGCCTTCACGTCGAGCTTGTTGTCGCCCGCGCGGTAGACTGCGCCCGGCTCGCTCTGCGCCTTCCAAGAATCCAAGCACGGCGCCGAGCACTGCACCCATCCTGACGACAAAAGCCTTGCCGCTCACCGCGCACGAAATCAGCGCTTCTCTCACGCTGTTGACAACCTTGGAGGCGCCGAACCTGGGGGGGCCATTCTTCGAGCACTCGATAGGCCAGAGGTTGAACGCGGCCAACCTCCGCTTCAGGCCGCCGCGCCAGTTGAGGCCCCCGACGCACTTGGAGCGCGCAGCGTCGAAGGCCATCTTGCCGCCTGACTCCTTCGGCAGGTCCTCGATCACAATGAACACTAGGGCTGGCCCCGTCGAAGCCATCAGGCAAGCGTGCGGGATGATGTAGAACTGCGCCGCTGTGACCTCCTCCGCCACCGACGCGGTCTGGGGCGACCAGGGCTGCCGACGAGCCGGCGTGAAATCCTTGTCGCCGGCGTGGTAGACCATGGCGGTGGTCGTCGTGGCCTCGCGCGGCTCCTGCCGCTGGCTCGCGCGGCCCCCGCTGCTCGCGGGGCTCGCCCTGCGGCTGCCTTTGCGGGGGATATCCGCCTTCGCCGTGGGGTCGTCTTTCTTCGGACACTGTGGATCTCCACGCCAGTGCCCTTTTCTGGCCACAGGCTCCGCAGTGAGTGCTTGCATTCATCTTGGCTACCTTGCCGTCATCCCGCAGAGGAGGGGGCCTGCCGTCCTTCTCGGCGAAGTAGCCTCTGGTCCGATTGCCCTCCTTCAGCGTGTCACTCGCGCGAAGCATCTTCTTGGTGAGGAACGCCACCTGCTCCTCCGCGTCGCCCAGGACGTCCTGGAGCTCGTCTTGGACATCACTCTCGAACTCCAACGAGTCGCTGGACGCGTCGTCGGTTCCGCGGCCACGGTCGTCATCCTCACCCAGTCTGCGTGACGTACGTCTTATGCGACGCGTAGTCGCCGTCCTGATTGTTACCGTTATTGCCGTAGCCCTTGCCGCGGTCGCTGTCATGGCCGTCCACGACCGAAACCTCGGGCAGGTGGATCATCAGCTGCTCGTGCAGCTTCGCGAGGTTGGACTTATTTCCATCGGCGTTGAGCACGCTGGCTGTGCGCTTTGGCGGAAGACGCGCGCACGTGCGGCACAGGTCAGCCAGGACCCCATTTGGCACGGCGACGCCCTTGGCCTTCAGCTTCGTCGAAATGCCGTTTAAGCGGTTGTTATAATCTCGGAGATCCTCGAACTTGTTTGTGCCTAACGCACGCTGTCATGATCAAAATATCCAGTAGCGCTGGCGTCTCCAGCACCTCGATCTCAGGGAACGCTCCCCGAAGCAGGCCAAAAATACTTCCGCAGAGTCGTCGCCCCTGATGTTGTCCAGGTCGAGCTCTTCGCAGGCCTCCTCGGCCTTGCCCTTCAGGTGGCCACTTGTCGGCGGTACTTTTTCATACCACTGCTCGTGCTGTCGAAGACGGATATGGGGATCTTGCCTCCCGACTTGTCGTCATTGCAAGCTGCAGCAGCTCCTCCTGTTGCCATAGCGAGATGGCGAGGAGTATTAGGTCACACTTGGTGAGCTGTCCGTCGTAGCTTGCGAAAGCCATGGCTGCGGAGTGGCACATATGCAAACCGTGTTTGTTGCCGTGGTCGAGATAGCTCCTGCTACCAGTGTAGACATAGAACTGCAATCTGATGTTTGATGGCAATGTGGCTACTCGACATATATATATATATATATATGATATTTCCGCGATGGGATGATGCGAATATGGGCTTCTCCCGATACGTGTTCGGGCTTCTCCCGATACGCCCAAGCCTAATGACCCTGAACAAATTGAGCCCAAACGAATACTGAAAGTCTGTCACCCTCTCGCATGCATATACATACAGATCAGCACTGCAATCATTTATTTCACAGGGGGGCCCTACTTTTGGGAGGGGGCCCTACACGTGTAGACACGGCGTTATTGATTGATTGATTGCCCTAAGTAAGGAGCCCCCTCTTTTGATCGATCTCTTCAAAGATGGCCCCAAGATGGCCCCCAAGGCCCCCAAGATGCCCCCAAGAGGCCCCCAGGAGACCCCGAAGAGGTCCCAAGAGGCCCCCCAGGGGCACCGAAGACGCCTTAAGAGGCCTCCGGGACTGCCAAGAGACCCTCAAGACACCCCAAGAGGACTCGAAGAATTTCTAAAAATAAATCCAAAGAGACTCCGAAAAGCATCCAAGAGACCTGTCCTTTCTGCTCGCCCTCCTCCTCCTCTTCCTTCTCCTCCTCCTCTTATTATTTTTGTCATCATCATCAGCAGCAGCATCAGCATCAGCATCAGCATCAGCATCAGCAGCATCTTCATCAGAATCATCATCATCATCATCATCAGCAGCAGCATCATCATCATCAGCATCATCACAATCATCAGAATAATCATCATCATCATCATCATCATCATCATCATCATCATCATCAGCAGCAGCAGCAGCAGTAGCATCGTCATCATCAGCAGCAGCATCATCATCGTCATCATCAGCAGCATCATCAGCATCGTCATCATCATCCACCATCAGAATCAGCATCATCATAAGCAGCAGTAGCAGCAGCAGCATCATCATCATCATCATCATCATCATCATTATCATCAGCATCATCATCATAATCAGCATCATCATCAGCAGTAGCATCAATCATCATCCATCATCATCGCCATTATCATCATCAGCAGCAGCATCAGCAACAGCTTCTGCATCAGCATCAGCATCATCATCATCATCATCATCATCATCAGCATCATCATCATCATCCACATGTTCCTCTTCCTTCCGCCTCCTCCCCATCCACTATCCCTCCTTCTCCTCCTCCTTCTCATTATTTTCCTGCTCCTCCTGCTCCTCCTCCGATTCCTCCTGCATCCTCCCCCTCTTGGGGTTCGACGTCTTACACAGCCCTTTATTCCACTGCGTTCTCCTCCACATCCCTGATCAGGGCAACCCGTCTGGACACCGTGTCTGTATGGGCTGGTGAAGTTACGAGAAGCGTCTAGAGGAGCTAGGTGTATCTAATTCCCAGACGGCGCCGGGGGGCGAATCATGCCTTTACAGGCCCCTGCCTCCCCCGCCCCCCATCCCACCCACCCGGCAACGGCCGTTATCGCGAGAGGGTAAGACCACGGGCTCTTGGAAGTGCGTGGCTAGCGCACAGAGCGAAAGCACGATCCCTGGGCAGGTCGTGCGGAGGAAGCTGGTCTTGAGGGAAGCGGGTCCGGGATTTCTGTTCGCCTGTTGAAAGCTCCAGGGTCTTAGGCTCCGTTTCCTTCAGGACCTCTTTATTCACGGCGATTAGGCACCGAGCCACGGGCCAGCAATTGGCTGGTTGCACGTAACCCCGGACATGATCTTGAAGGCTCCCTGTGGGAGAATTTGGAGGTTCTGAGCACCTGACAGCGAAATACCAGAAACCGTGGCGACATGTTTTTAAGGATGCCGAGCAAGTCGACGAGCCCGCCTTCCCTTGATCCTGACATCGTGTGAACCAAAAGCGGTGCTTAGCTGCCTCGCGTGCACGTTGGTGCCTGCGTCTGTGCCTGCCTTTGTTGCTTGCACGTGGCAGAGCACGCCCTGGCATGGAAAGGGCAAGAAGCTAGGAGAGGAGAGGCCTGAGCAGAGGCCTCAGCTTGCCGTTGAAGTTGCTGCTTCTCGAGCTCCGACCCGTCGAGTTGCTTTCTGAGCGCATCCTGCACCGCTTTGGCCTGGCACCGAGAATAAAGATACACACATACACACGCACATACATACATACATACGTACGTACGTACGTACAGACTTTCATGTAAAGCAACACGACACGACCCAACGCAGTACAATACAATACAATACAATACAGTACAATACAATACACGACAATACAAGAAAATAACACAACTCAAAAAATACCGTACAATATACTACAATTGCCTTACAGCACATTGCGCTACCTTATGTGACATTACATGTCATTCCATTAAAATACCATACATTACATGCGTTGCACTGTAGCACAATACATCACATTATATTATATTACACTACAGTGCACTATATGGCATGACATACGTGTCTGCATACGTACATGCATGCATACATGCACTCGTACATACCTACATACGTACACACATACATTACATTACATTACATTACATTACATTACATTACATTACATTACATTACATTACATTACATTACATTACATTACATTACATTACATTACATTATATTACATTACATTACATTACAATACAATACATTACATTACATTACATTACATTACATTACATACATACATACATACATGCGTACGTACATACATACCTATATATACATGAATACATACATGCATACAGACATGCATACGTATAAACCGACCTACATGTACACACATGCATGCATGCATTCATGCATACATTCATGTCTACATACATACATGCATGCATTCATACATACAGATATACATGCATACATGCATAGATACATACATGAATGCATACATGCATGCATGCATGCATGCATGCATGCAAACGTACATACATACATGCATGCATACATACACATGTACATACATACATACATACATACATACATACATACATACATACATACATACTAACAGACATATCTACATACATACATACATACATACATACATACATACATACACATATACATATACATATACATATTCATGTACATATACATATACATATGTATATACATATATATATATATACATGTAAATATACATATACATATACATATACATATACATATACATACACATATACATATATATATATATACATATACATATACAGATAAATATACATATACATATACATATACATATACATATACATATACATATACATGTACATATACATATACATATACATATGCATATACATATACATAAACATAAACATATACATACATATACATACATACATACATACATACACACACACATACATACATACATACATACATACATACATACATACATACATACATATGCACACACATATCAAGAGCGCTTCGCGCGCTTCGGTTCTAGCGCAAACTTTCCAGATTGCAGCCGCGATCTCGGACGATGGCAACATCGAACATAGACGTTGACGATGACGACGACGACGTCCATCCTCTCCTTGATGTCCTCCGGTTTCTCGTCCTCCTTCTCCTCCTCCTCTCCTCTTCCTCCTTTTCAGATACTTCCTCCTGTCGCGGCGTTGAAGTCCCAGGAATCATTTTCTCACGCGACTTTGTATTGACAAGATGCAACAGTCACATTGATTCGCGGCGTTGAAGACCCAGGGATGGTGTTCTGGCACTGAGGATTCTCCAACGGCTGTCTTTCAATGGGGCACTGCCCACAATCAGCATAAATTATTCTAGGGACCAGCGAGGAGGGAACTTGGAGGGACGGCTTATTGTTGATGCATCTTAGGTTTACACTGGTCCTCCACTTACTCCTGATCCTGCTCCTCCTCCTCGTCATCATCCTACTCATCATCATCATCATCATCATCATCACCATCATCATCATCATCATCATCATCACCGCCACCACCACCGTCATCATCATCATCCCACCCCCTCCACCTCCTCCTGATCCTCCTCCTCATTGTCGTCCTCCTCCTCCTCCTTCTCCGTTACTCTTCCTTACAAACAACTCCTCCCTGTCGCACTCTGAGGCCAGTCGAAAGGGCGGGTCCGGCGTTTCGCCTGAGACTTCCTCATCATTATAATCCTGAAGCTTACAATTTGCAAGAGCTTCACTGATGAAGGGCGGGGACTTACCAAAATGTGGCTTTCGCCCTGGCGCCGCGCACATCCGCGCACATTCGTCTTAGAAGTGTACAAGAGCTTCACGGATGGAGGGCGGCTCCTTGTCAAAATGCGGCTCTCGCCTCAGCGCCGCGCACATTCGTTGTAAGAGCTTGCAGTAGTTTTAAGGACTCCCATGGCTAACGTCCCCGAAACGGTGTTTTGGCACGACGTCGGAACGTCAGGGCGCAACAGTCACGTTGATTCGCGGTGTTGAAGTCCCAGGAAGTGGATTGTGCTCTGGTACGGTTCAAGATCGTCAAGACGCAACGCTAACGGTAGTTCGCGGCGTTGAAATCCCAGAAATGGTGTTCTGGGACAGTTTCGGATGTTCACATGGTCCTCATCCAACGGGGCACTTCCCTCAGTGAATATGGATCCGTGTAGGGAGAGTTGATTGCAATGTCGTTGATGAGTCGTGGGTTTATACTGGTCCTCCACCTCCTCCTCCGCCTCCTCCTCCCATCCCCTCCTCCTCCCACCCCCTCCTCCTCCTCCTCGCCCCCCATCCCATCCCAGTCTCCTCCAACCACCACCGTTCCTTCTTGTCCACCTCTCCTGCCTCTTCTGCTCCCCTTTCTCATCGTCCTCCCCGCCTCCCCTCTCCGTCCCCGGGGAGCCCCTGGGCAAAACGGAGGCGCCGAGGCGGCAGGCTGCGCCGCATGGTGGCTGCAGGAAGCCAGCGCGGCGCCAGGACGCGAAGCACGAGGAGAACCCTCGATGTGGCAGAGTCGGCCTACGAGTCAGGGCCGACTGTACGGGCGGGAAGGAGAGGCGAGGAGTAGAGGCGGGAAGGAGGGACGAAGAGGAGGGACGATGTGAAGGACGGACGAGGAGGCACGAGGAGGAGGGACAGGGAGGATGAACAACGATGAGGACGAATGGGCACGCCCAGAGGCGTCCAGGAAATCGGTGACCTCAGGCGCAGCGGCGTGCCCGCGGCCTCCCTCCGGAGGCCTCGAGGAGGGAGGAGGCGTGGAGGAGCACGTAGGAGGACGAGGACGAGGACGAAATACAACCAACCCGTAGAATAAGGACGCACGACAAGGATGCACGGGCCTTCGAAGGCCATGTCGACTCTCTGCGTGCGGGGCGCTGCCAGCGAAAGGTGCCAAGGCGAGGCCGAAGCGGAAGGATGCAAGTGCAAGCTTGGAAAATCGCTCGTCCATACTATGCGGGTTGACTGTCATGGGTGGGAGCAGGAACAGGAGAAGGCGGAGGAGGAGGAAGAAGTAGAAGCGGACACTGTCTACCATGAAGAGAACAAGGAGGAGGAGGAGGAGGAGGAGAGGAGGAGGAGGACGGGGAGGTGGAGGAGGAGGAGGAGAAGGAGAGTGGGTCCTGAGCGAAGCGGGTCCCAGACGCTGGGACCCTCCCCGAGGACCAGTTCTTCCTCCTGAGCAGTGCTGCCGACGGTCCTTGGGTCCGTCGAAGGCCCAGGTCGAAAACTGCAAACAAACAATTGCACCAGAGAAACAAAAAAGAAGTAGATAATATGGAAATTAGTGATATGGATATTGAGATCGATTGTGGGATCGATAGTAGAATCGATAGTGAGGACGATTCTAAGGTAGGTCGTGAGACCGATAGTGAAGTCGATTCAATGAGATCGATTGTGAGATCGGTTGTGAGATCGCTCGTGCGATCCATAGTGAGATCGATTGTGATATCGACAATGAAGTCGACTGTGAGATCGATAGTGAGATCGATAGAGACGTGGGTGATGGGATCGACGGTGAGACCGATCGATGAAACGATCGACCAGGAACCCGGGATCCCGGGAACCCCGCGGCCCACCGAAATTGGCCTGGAACCCGGAACCGGAACAGGGAATCCGGGAACCCAGCCGCCCACTGAAATCGGCCCGGATCTTTCGCCAAATCCTTCAATATCCGTCAGGACCTCTTCAGTGCAAGCACTGATTGGGGAAAAGACTCGGGGCCCGTTTCTCCTCAGAACCCCTTTGCTTCATGCCGAACTGTGCAGGGACGTGCAGGGCCACTGGGGGTCAGGCTACTGGTAAGCCGAAGCCAGGACCAGGACAAAATCGGACTTGGATAAATCGAGGATCTCTGAGATCTGGTGGTTCTGGGGTATGCCTCCAGGTTCCCGAGCCTTTGTCTCTGCCTCTTCCTCGCTCTCCCGCTCTCCCTCTCTCTCTCAGACTGCTCGAAGGGACTAATGACCTGCAGCGTGGCGCATGGTTGTGCGCACCAACGATTCGCGTGCCGAAGGGGGGGGGGGGGCGTGGATACTTGGCGGCGCCCTGTGGAGGGCGCGAAGGGGGGCCTTCTGAGAAGGCGGGGCGGCTTCTCGGAAGGCAGTGGCCTTCTCAGACGCGCCTGGAGAATGCTCCTGGAACGAGCTCGTAGAATTCTGGAGGGCTTCCGGTAAGCCACCCGCCTTCTCAGACGCCCCTCCCCTCGCCTTATTAGAAGGCCAACCCCCTCGCGCCACCCCCTGGGCGCGGACATGCCAGGCGCACTCGCGCGACATCTTCTGACATCCTACCCCTCCCAACGATCCCTTCCCTCTGCGCTGAATTCTTGCCCGCCCTGAGAGGCAGCGGCAAGGGGGGACCAGATCGGGGAGAGAAGCACCGAGCTGGCATCGGCGATACATTGCCGGTAGATCGGCGATAGGCTCACGATAGCGAATCCGCACGTTCCTGTGAGGGGTGGCCCATCGGGCCCCTATCGGCGATGAATGGGCAAGCGGGGGTCGATGCATACCCCCATGATGGCATCGCCTCTAGAACTGCCCCTGATATCCGCCTGAAAGGGGGAGCCCCGCGCCGACCAGCGAACCGCGCTGCCGGAGAAAAGGGCAACAAAGACGCGCGAGCATATCCGATGCCACTGCTAGTGGAGTGCCGCTCCACGTGGAAAGCAGG